AAAAAAAAAAAATGAAGGTGGTTATATAATTTGTTAAAATCATTTTCGAAAGCACAGTCATAAGTTGGTGAGTGTGGATGTAAATGATGCCAGCAATGAGAATGATATTCGATAGTAATAAATGAATAAAATTCATATAATAATAGAAAAAAAATAATAATTAATAAAATGGCAAACAGAGAACACGAAATTATTACTTAAAAGTCATGCTAATTTTTTATTCAATGAAAGTAGGCGACATGTGATGTTGAGTCCACACCACCCTAGAAAATATGCATTTTCTTGATTTTAGGTTAAGATATATCTCTCTTTATATATTTTTTTTTTTGGTATAGGAACCTTCCAATTTTCGGATTCATATGGGAACCGATTAATCTGGAATCGAGCCGAGTAGGACCACAAGGAGAGATATATCTCTCCTTATATATTAATGCAAAATGTATTGAGTTTAGGTGGCAGAATCTCACGTTTCGGATGCTGACATGGCGAAAATCTATGCTTCGTGATTTTGTTTTTATATTATTTTTGCTCTGGAGTTAGATTTGGTATTAGACATAAATAACTTTACACATATATTTATTAACTCAACACTTATGTTGTACAGGTAATCAATTGATTAATTTTTCTCATGGTTGCATCTACCAAGGATTAAAAGAATCCCAACAATTAAACATAAACAAATAAATAATTGAACCAAACTTGTATTTTACTAAAAGTGGTCCCAAGGTATAAGAAAATATAAATGAAAAAAAAAAAAAAAACATTATTGTCACATGTTGTGGAGTAAATTTAGTCATGACGAATTTAATGATCGAAGTGTAAATTTATTGGAGTTCCATCTTTTTTATATTATGATCTCAATTGCCTTTTGTGGATTCAAAGTATTTATTGGGTTGCTTTTTGGGCTTGATTTGGGCTGCAATAGATACATCTATTCAATATAAAACTTAATTCATAAAATGCACAATTAATCAATAAATTAAAATAAAAAAAAAAATGATATCATCCTACATATGAAAAAGTAACACTGCATAGTTCTAGATTTTAGACTTTTTTTTTTTTTTTGGTACAATAAAAGAGGTCGAAGCCTAATGATCACGAAAGAAGTAGTCGACGTGGGCGAGCCACACCTACGATATCATAGCTCAACCAATGACCCAAATCCTGCGACGGGCCATGAAGACGATGGAAACCAATCGGAACATCAGCAGCAAGCGTAGCTAACTTGTCGGCCGGGAAATTCCCTTCCCGATATATGTGGGATACATGAACCCTCCACTCCCGCTTAAGTAAATCACGAATGGCCTGTATAATTGTACCATGTAGACCAAAATTATCATCATCCCCTAGAATCATATCCACGACACTACTATTATCTACTTCAACCAAAACATTCCTCTCGCCCATGTCCCAAGCCAACCGAAGTCCTTGGAACAGGCCCCATAGCTCCGCCCCCGTTATAGAACAGTATCCCACATTCATAAGGAACCCTCCAAGCCAACGCCCATAAGAATCCCGAGCTAACCCTCCAGCACTACCCCGTCCCGACGCCATACACCGTGCTCCGTCCGTGTTAACTTTGATCCAACCCCCTGGAGGGGGAGACCAATGGATAAAGACCTCTCCATAAACTAGGTCTCGGGCCCCCAAATGTGTTACAGACTCCAGACTCCTTAGCTGTGTATCCACTCTTCTGTTAATGTCCATGATTTTTGCCTCCAAGGGAAAAACTTTGTTCGAGAAAATGGCCATATTACGCCAGGCCCAAAGCCGCCAGCATGCGATGGGAAAGATGATTTCCCAGTTTTCGATCCCGACATTAGCGTCCTCCACCACGTTCGACCAGAACCATGTGCAAATATCCTGTGAGAAGAAGCTCGGTCTGCACGAGATTGGGACCAACTCCAGCCACAGTTTGCGCGCCATGTCACAATCCCTCAGGACATGAGACAACGACTCAGCCTTACCACAGAATCCACAAGCGGCAACCTCAGACAAATGCCTACGAACCCGCTCCATGTTTGTAAGCAGGCGTTCCCTCGTAGCCAGCCAAAGAAAGTGCCTCACGCGTTGCGCCACCGGCGCCCGCCATATTCCCCGCCATAACAGTCGACGGTGATCTGTTTCCCGCTGCGTCAAAGCTTAATATGCCGACCGCGTGGAGAAAATTCCGTTAGATGTATAACCCCAAATCAGTCTATCAGGTCTAGATGATGACTGCGGAGGCAGCACAGCCGCGATAAGCAAAAGGGTGTTAGCCGGCAGCAGTCCCTCGAACTTGGTCCACCACCAGTCACCCGAAGCCGTGACGAACGCCTCCACCGGAGAGCACAAAGCTCCTCCTCTGGTATCCTCCGAGTTGCCACCGCAATCAATGGTTCCGACACATTGAGCCATCTATCCAACCAAAATCGGGCCTGCCGCCCATCGCCCACCGCCCATCTAGTGCCTCGTCGGACTTGGGCCCAACCTTTCGCCACCGCTTTTAGGCACACAGACCCTTTAGGAAAAACAAAATCCTCAAGCATCTCGTTCGGGCGTAATTTGTATTTTGCACATATCACCCGAACCCATAACTTGTTTGCTGAGTGAGCATAGTCCACCAGAGTTTCATTAGAAGGGCTTCGTTCTAGATTTTAGACTTTAATAAATTAAAATTATACATCTGATTTTTATTATGAAAGATATTATTTGGTACAATTTTTCAGTATGTTATGTGGGTAGTCACCAAGTGAGCCCACCTAAATAATTCGTGTGTGAAATCAGAGAACATATCATCATTTTTCTTCTAAGCTCCTAAAATCTGCAGAGAGGGAGTCTGTGCGCCATTAAAGTGCTTTGCTTTCCTCTTGCACGAGGTTCGAATATCTCAAAGGAAAATGATTTCACGGAGCGATGGCAAGTGCCAGTCTGCTCAAACCCAGGTAAAAATGAATTTACAGTGGCTCGCGCTACTCTGTCACACTCAATGGTAGACTAATTTATGCACTCTCGATTAATTTCTATGGGTCTCTTGAAGATGGGTTTGTTTTGGCTCTTTCATTCGAATATGTTCTTTCGTTTTATACTCGGAATCGTGATTTATCAGTACCAGAAAGCAATCGCACTGAAGAACGAAAACATATTTTTGGGCATTTTTTTTTTTTTTGTTTTAAATTTTTATCAAGGGGTTGAAATGATGGAATTAGGAAGTGTACTCAATCGTCAACTCGATTTTCAGAAACAAAGTAAATTTAGTTTTGGGTATAATACATTAATATGATGAATACTTAGTTTAATTTCTGGTAACAAACTGATGAATGTTATGTTATAAAAGCCCGTGATTGATGTATCCAGAGGTGATGAACAGTTTTGTAGTCTGTACATCTACTGTATAGTGACTGAACAAAATCTTATGCAACTCAGAGGATGAGAGTAATTCATAAGCATGGTTAAAGTTTTAAAGGTAACCGTATCGTTGAACTTAGTGTTATGTTAAGGTGAGGAGTTGAGTGCAAAAAATGAAAGGCTGATAGCCATATTTGATTGCTTTCTTGCTTTCCGTATGTGTTAAAATATCTCGGCCGAGGGATTTATTATTTCTATTTCACTTGGACTTGTTTGGATAAATTATCCAAAATGTGATTTCGTCATGCAAAATAATAAGCTATTTTAAGGGACTGAGTCTTAAATTTGAATCTGCTCAGGATGCAGCTGCTCAAGATAAGTCATGCATAAGGTCTGTTCGGCAATTATCTGATGCGATTTGTACGGATGCTAATCATTCACTCACCACAGAATATTCCCAGCTGGCTTTATCCTTTTCGGGAGGGTATTTTTATCTTCCATTGCCATGAAGTTTAACTCAGTCTTTTACTGTTGCTTAGAGCTAAAACAAAATGTACCTGTAAAGTTTGTGACAACTGAAAAATAAACTTCAAGTAAGTCTTGGAAGTTACAAAAGATACACTTTTCTAAGTTTTCTTAACTGCAATACTTTTATGAAACCAAAGGGATATTCTTTGTGATTATCGTTATTTCTTATTTGTCTCTGTGGTGTTTGATGGCAGCATTATCTGTGCAGAGGATGATGAAAAAATTGGAGATAATATTGTAATCTCAGACGACATGATGCTTCTGGAAGAACCGAGTTTTAGCATTCTCAATCAGGGTTATGTG